CCACCCCACCCACTACCCCTGCCCCGGCCCCAGGAATTCCCCTGGGATGGATGGAGGGAGGCTCAGAGCCAGGCTGCCTGGGTTTGTACGGCCAAATCCACACGGTTGCTGAGTGTGTGGCCTCGGGCAGGTTACCAGATCTCTCTGGGCCTTAGTGTTCCCGTCTATGTAATGGGCAGTGACTTGTACCCACTGGCCCAGGTTATGAGGATGAAGTGAGGCCAGATGAAGGGTTTGCAAGAGATGCCTGATCCCCTGGTATGAAGGGCGCACCATCGATATCGGCATCCGCGCTGTTCACACCCCACTAACGGATCCCTGCGTTAACCGGAAGTTAAAGCAGACGTTAGCACCACTGGATTTGTCTTCACGAGTCCTGGGGGTTCTGGAGAGATGGGGGCTGTCAGTTGAGAGAAGGGTGGTGCGTGTCCCTCATGTGTGTTACAGATTTATCAGATGTGATCTCACTTTGTCTGTCGTGAGCTCTGTTAAAAATTACTTTGTAATGTCAGTGGAAATGCTCATTTACGGGCCTGAGTACCTGCGGGCGGGGCTCACAGCTGCCCGGCGTCCTGGGTGACCAGGCGTTGGACGTCCCGTTTGGTGGCAGCAGTGACTCACAGCCTTCTTCTGGAGGAGGAGGGGCTGCACGCCTGCTCAGACGTGGCTCCTTCCTGGATCCTTGAGAGCTGCCCCCTCCCTCCTTCCTGGGCCGAGTCGCTGCTTGTCCCTCGGGGCCGAAGCCCCACCACCCATGCAAACCTCCTTTATGGACTGAGGGGGCCCAGGGGCCACACAGTTACCCAGACCTGGAGTCCCTCCCCGCCGGTTATCCTTACTTAGGGGAACAGATGTGTTGGCAAAGTTTGCTGAGAAGGTGAAATTACATTCGAGAATTGTTTCCTACTCACTTTTTTTTTTTTTTTTTTTGCGGTACGCGGGCCTCTCACTGTTGTGGCCTCTCCCGTTGCGGAGCACAGGCTCCGGACGCGCAGGCCCAGCGGCCATGGCTCACAGGCCCAGCCGCTCCGCGGCATGTGGGATCTTCCCGGACCGGGGCACGAACCCGCGTCCCCTGCATCGGCAGGCGGACTCTCAGCCACTACGCCACCAGGGAAGCCCCTCCTACTCACTTTGACAGGAAATCAGAAACAGTGTTTGACCAGAGAAGCATTGCTGTAATTAAAGTGAACTGATGAATGTACAATTTTTTAAAGATCACGTAAAGAAATTCTTATTTCCTTATATTAAAACATTAACAGTGATCCTCAGATTATCAGTTAAAATCTTGCTCTACCCAAGTAATAAATCACTGGCTTACAAAGAGTGAAAGTCAAAACCGAGCATGGTCTGGCCTGGTCCAGCAGCAGCAGTTCCTGCCCCCGGACGCCCGTCAGTCGTGACGCCGGCAGCCGCCCCGCCCCGCAGCTCTCCACTGCTCCATCCCCGCCTCCCCGGCCCATGGTCCCGTGTGAAATCCCCCCCATTCCTGAAGAGCCAGCTGGGTGTTCTGTTTCCAGGAAAGGCCCCACGTCCCCCAGCCACAGAGGTGACCCCTCGTGGCCCTTTGACCCTGTCCTCACATCCCACCTGGTACTGTGACTACTGTGAATTATGTCTCCTGTTGAACCTGTCTTGTCCATCCTTGTGTCCACCCGCCCCGCCGAGCTAAGCCGAGGGCCTGGTTGATATTCAGGAAAACGTCAGCGAAGTTGCTCCGTGGCGACAAATCACCCCCGAGTCTCAGCGCCTGAAACACCCCCCTGTGTTTTCTCTTGCGGGTCCCTGTCCTTCACGGTCAGCTACGTCTCTCGTGCTCCCAGACACAGATGGGGATCTGGGGGCCCTGCTGGTCTGGGGATGGGGAGAGGTCGGCGCTATGGAACACTGTGGAAGCTCCTGCTGGGAAGTGCCCTGCATGTACTGCTCCCCCGTCGTCAGCCAGGCCGGTGTCGGAGGCATGCAGCTCCCTCGGGGGGGACTGTCTGCAGGGTGGGTGGGCGCCCCCCGCCGCACCACAGGGGCAGAGTGAGCGGGCGAGCGGGGGCCGGATGGTGAACGGTCCCACCCGAGCAACTGACAAGCCCCTGCCCTCCCAGCCTCGGCTGTTTACCAAATGCCTTTGAGGCGTTGTTTCCTCTCCTTGCCGTGGTTTCAGCACACGGGTGCCTGTCCAGCTGCCTCCCTGGAGCAGAGGTTCTGAAAGGTTGACGTGAGCCCAGGGCCGCCCAGGGTCTGCGGGACGCAGAGCCAGCAGCCCGTGGGCCAGTGTCCCCTGTCAGCAGCAAGTCTACACCGGGTCAGGGCAGCCACCGTGTATCCCTGATGCCTGGTGGCCACGTCGGGGCCGAGCAAGCCGGCCAAAGTGCTGCCCTCGCTGCTCCGTGGGACCCGCCCGCCGGGTCCAGCCCACAGCATCCAGCTGTGCAGCGCCTCTCCCAGCGCTCAGCCAGAATCCCAGAAGATTCCAGAAACCACTGGGATTCCACTACTGCTATCAGGTGCAAGGAGCCCCCAGAACTCCAGGAAGCTTCTCTATCACCGCCCTGCCCGGACCTCTCTCCGGGGCTGGGGTGGCGGGAGCGATCCCTCAAGGCCGGTGGGTGACAGCTGTGGGAAAGCGTCGTCTGCCTGGGCCGAGACGCCGGATGGAGAGAATCTCCGCTCTGTGCCCTAACCCTGCACCCGCCCTCCAGCGCTGTCCGTGGGCAATCTGCGTATCAGCAAACACCAGGGACCGCCAGGCCAGGCCAGCGTGCTTTTCAAAACGAATTTCATGCATTTTAACACAGCATTCTGAGCAGATGTTCGCGTGCGCCGTACTCCACGAATGCTAAGGTTGGAGAACAAGAGGATCACGATCCATCAGACGCTCCATCGGTTTCCAAACTGAGCACCTTCATGACAGAAAAGGATTGCACTGGGGGTGTAGACAGATGGCCTTCCTGCAAGCCAGGGTCTCCCGTCAGGGTGGAGACCCTGAGGATCTCAGGAACCAAAAAAAAATAAGTCTTGAAACTGGCGTGCTTTTGCTCGGTGTTCACCTAGGTTTCTCCCTCCCCTGCTGTGTTAGCATCACAAAAGTCCTTGTCACCTGCAGCATTTTTTTGGCAGGAAGGGGCTGTGCTGTAGGACAGCTGGGGGGCGTGGAGACAGCTCAGCCTGGGGACAGTGGCGCCTGGGGCTCAGCCGCCCAGGACGGGACCGGGGGTGGCGGTGGAGGGAGGCTTTGTCCAGCCCGTGTCGACCCCAGAGTCGTCGTGGGCCCTGGGTTTGGCTGTGCTTCGAGAGGGAAACTTGGGGGACTGGGGCGACCACGCACAGATGGTCCTAACCCACCACCAGGGTAATGGCTGTGCTCAATTTTGCCTTTCACGTTTTAATCGCACAACGGTAATTTTGTGATAGAGTCGCCCACGGCAAACATGCAGAAGACATTAACTTTATTTATGTTTTGGATTATTAATGTGGCTGTTAAAATTTCTCCAGTTAGTTTTGATTGAATTGTTTTTTTGTGCGATTCTGTTGTTTAATGGAGCGGTAAATAAGAATTTCTGATAATGAGGCCGAGCATCTGTCACAACAACCTGGTGTGGGTTATTAACATTTCCATTAACGGCAGGGTGGGCAGTGATAATACAGGAGCCACGCAGTTAGAGCAAAATAAATAGTTGGTGTCAGGCTGAGTGGGTGTTAATTACTATTTTATTCTACACTGGTGGTGGGGAAGCAGGGAGGGGAAGATGCGGGGGAGGGGTGCCTCAAGGAGGTCGTCCTCTCCCCAGGAGGCCTCTCCAGAGAGACTGTGAGCTGGGCGGTCTCCCTCTGGCGCTGACCACTGACGCGTGGTCCTTTCCATTCATGGCCCTAAATAGACTTGAGTCAAGAGGCAGCGCCCTGGCCGCAGGCAGGGCCGTGGAACGTGAGGGTGCTGGGTTGGCACCCTGGCCCTGCTGCAACGTCCCCGACAGCTCCGTGGAGCTCCCCAGGGTCCAGCCCAGCGTGAAGTTCACTGGGGGAGGGGTCACCCAGGTGGGAGGAAGGAGTAGCTCCTGGGAGGCAGAGGACAGACGGGCCAGAGGGGAGAAATGTCCCCAAATGTACACGTGCGTCCTCTGCGTCATTCCCAACTTACCCGTGGCTGCCTGCAAGGCCACGAGGCCATGGCCATGGCGCCCTGTCAGTCACCTTTCACCTTTGATCTGCACAGTGTGGCCCTGCTGACACCAACACAGCACCCAGGGGCCCTCGGGGTTGGGAGGGAAGGAGTGGGACCGGGTCCTCCTGGGGGGCGCGGAGCTGTGACCTCTGCGCTCCGTTCCTGAGAAGGGGCAGCCCCGGGTCTGCAGACGTCAGCTCCACCTGGAGCACGGCTTCGTACCCAGGATCCGGGACTCGTGGTGGGAACACAGATGCCTTTCTTTCTTTATTTTTGGCCGCGAGGCCGGTGGGATCGTAGTTCCCTGACCAGGGATCGAACCCAGGCCCTCGGCAATGAAAGCGCAGAGTCCTAACCACTGGGCCGCCAGGGAGCTCCCATAAATGCCTTTATTTTCTCCGAGTTCCACCTGGAACTGAGCATCTCCCTCAGTTATGAATGTGGCGACGTACCAGTGCCGCATCACTGGGGCCTGGGACTCTCTCAGCAGCAGGGCCCCCGGGTGGGCCCCCGGGTGTGCCCCCGTCCCGGCGAGGTTGGATGTTGCTGCGCCGTCTCTGCTCATCCCACCTGACCTCAGAGGCGTCGCTCGAGCAGCTCCTAAGCCTGGCTTCAGGGCTCAGTCACAAGCACAAGCACGTGGGTTACCGTGTCACACCTTCGTTTCCAAAGCTCTGCTGTGTCTCGATATAATCGGTTTTCTCTGGGATTCTCCAGGTTTTATTTCATGCATTTAAAGGCGCGGTTCTGAGAAGGGTTTGTGGTCATGCTGGCAGACAAGCTGGGTGGCCCAGGGCAGGGTCTCGGGACTTCTCAGCGGACCCCGCTGCTCTCTCCGCAGCCCCGGCCATGGCTCCACAGCACGTGCAGGTGAGCCCACTCACGGCCAGCCAGCTGGAGGTCGCGTGGGACCCGCCGCCGCCCGAGAGCCAGAACGGAAACATCCAGGGCTACAAGGCAAGGCGCCCTCTCGCTTGGTTTGCCTCTTCCTTCCAGGTCACTTGCGGGCCAGGGTCGGTGGCCTGAGTCCCCAGATCTCCCGAGGGCTCCGCTGGGACCCTGGCCGCTTCTGCTTCCCGTCCTGACTCAGGCCGACAGGCCCTCGGCCCCCAGCCGGGCGGCTGGAACGGGCTCAGCCTGACCTTGCCTCTGGCCTGGGAGAGCGGAGCCCAGTTCCCCGCGCGGCCAGCAGCACCTCCCGCCCCCTGCACCCCCTCTGGGAGTCTCCGCCGCCTTTGCTGACAGTAAAAGGGAAGCCCTCAGGAGAACAGGTTCCCCCCGCACCAAGCCCTGCCCTGGGTCCGAGTCTCCTGTTTGGTAGGTCCAGGATGGGGTCCAAGGATTTGCGTGCTCCTGGGAACCTCACTTTGAGAACCCTTACACTGCACTGTCATGATTCCACATTAAATATCCCAGAGGTGGGATCCAAGGAAGGCAGCAGCCCGTTGCAGTCCGAGCATCAGGTGATGAACAATGACACAGAGCTGGTGGGCGCAGGAAGCCCCCCGCAGTGTTCCACCTCCAACATCACCCCTGCGTAGGGGGCTCGGACCCCGTGAGATCAGCTAAAACCTGAAGTGCCGTCCCTTGGAAATTCCCCACCTTCCTCCGGAGTGAATCTGGTCTGTTGAGCCCAAGTTGAGCAGTCATCAGACTCCACGGGCTAGCCTACCCTGAAGACTATTGGACCAATTCAGTGTCCCTTTAAAAATGACATTAGTAGGTGTTTTGTGAAAATAAATACCATCCTCCACGGCAGGGCACCTGCAGTGATGAATGAGGTAACGGAAAGTCCCCTGAGCCCGGAGCCAAGGTGCTATTTATGTATGTCCAAAACATGTTTCCTAATTTCCTAATGACAGAGACATTGAACCTGGATATTGAGTTCAGGTTAGTAAGGCCTGTTCAAGCAGAGCGTCTCATCTGGCCAGTTCAGAGCAGAAGCTGAACTGCGTCTTGCAGGTGGATACAGCAAGGCGCCCCGCAGCCCCGCTCCGGCCTGGCCGGGCATGGGGGCACGGGAGAGCAGGCCCCAGGCCTCGGCTGCCCTGCGCGTGGGCCAGCAGCTCTCACGGCCCGGCCTATTGTAGGCCCACAGAGCCGAGGTGGATCCGTGGATGGGGGTTGTCTGTGGGTGGCCTGGCTGGCACTGGCTTGGACAGTGGTTCTCGGCCAGCTGTCTAGGGAAGCAGTTCTGATGACCTTAGTAAACTTTTGTACGCGGGCATCATGTTCGCCCACAGGCGCATTAAAAACTAGACGAGAAGAAACGGAACCCAGGAGAAACAAGGGCTGCTCCAACAGGGCTGAGCCCTACGTGGTTCATCTCCACGTTATTTTTGGCTGTTTTAGTATCCAGAGTATGGGGTCACATTGATCCAAGCCTTTGATCTCAGCCTTAAAGAAAACGTGGGAGTGTAGGGTAGAAGCTGGGGGCTTGTTCTACCCACAGGCTGGAGCAGGGGGTAGATTGGTCTCCCTTCTGTCCAGAAGCTTGGGGGAAGGGGCAGGGCCCCCACAGCCAGCCCTGTGAGAGAAAAGGCACTTTCCTGGCAGCCGAAGGAGATGCCACCGAAATGCCACCTCCATCCTCAGGCCCCGTCCACCCTGGCCTGGCCTTAGCCACCCCCGACTCTGCAGAACACAGCTCGGCCCCCGGGAGCACTCAGGTCCCCTCTGGCTCAGTGGCCACCTGCCCCCAGGCTGAGGAACAGAGGGGGCGCCACCCCTTCCCTCCCGCGCTGGCCTCCAGCCTCCGGCTCTTTCTGGCAGATCTACTACTGGGAGGCGGACAGCCAGAACGAAACGGAGAAGATGAGGGTGCTGTTCCTGCCCGAGACCACGGTGAAGCTGAAGAACCTCACCAGCCACACCAAGTACCTGGTCAGCATCTCGGCCTTCAACGCTGCTGGAGACGGGCCCAGGAGTGACCCCCGGCAGGGCCGGACCCACCAGGCCGGTAGGAGGACACGTGTTTCCTTTCCACAGCCTGGTTCACCTCCCTGCCCTGCTGTTCCCCAACCCTCCCTCTCCATTCCCTCGGCTCTCCGCTCTGCCTGTCCTGTAAGCCAGATCCCGCATAGCTGGGAATTTCTGGGTCCGATTCGTGTGGTGTCCCCAGCACCCAGCCCAGGCCTGCTGTGTGGAGCTGCCCCGTGAACATTCACCAGTGTGAGCAGCGTGGGCAGTGGGGGGCCGGGCTTCCATCTGCACAAGGCCTCATCTGTCACCGGCAGGACTTGCTCCAGGCCCCCGGGGGATTCTCTCAGGGTCCAGATCCCGGGGCAGGGGGAGCTCCTTGTATGTTGATGTGCTGAGCCCAGGCCGCAGTGTTGGCCTCCCCGGGCCTCTGGGCCACAGAGTCCCCTGGAAGCAGCTGGCAGGCCGTCTCTCAGACACATGCCCCGCGCAGGTCCTAGGGCGTGGCCGGGCTGCCCTGCCGGGGGTCACACTGCCCGTGACCTCCTCTCCTGATCTGGGGTACGTTCTGAGCCGCTCACTCACTCTCCTGGCGACTCGCAGAGTCCCTAGTGGTTTGGGGCGCTTCCTGAGGCTGACCAGGCTTCCCGAGGGAACGGCGGCTGGGCCCTGGGTCCCGGGAGCTCTGGGGCCTTCTTGAGATGCAGGGAGTGGAAGGCTGGCAGTGTAAGTTAGGGAGCCTGTGGGGCACAGACCCACCGGCTCCGGGATCCCCAAACCTCTGTGGGTTCAGCGTTCCCGGGAACAGGGGCTCCTGAGACTCAGGCCCCCTGGGAGATGACCATGACTGCATTGCAGGGACTGCGTCCTCGGGGCCCGTCCAGCAGCCCGGGAGGGGCTGTCTGTGGACTGTGGGCTCTGAGCGGGAAGGGTATGGGCGGACCTGTGGGGCCGAGGGTAGGAGGTGGAGGCCCTCGGGCACTGCGGGCCTGGCGGGTCACAGGGCCAAAGGGCCCCCAGGGACGGGGGAGGACGGAAGGGGGGCAAGTGGGGGCTGATTCAGTGGGCATTTCTGAGCACGGAGGGGAACCCAGCTAGGGGGGCGTCACTGCCCACTGGGGTAGGGGCAGCTCTGGGTGCCAGCACCCACCCGGCCCTCCCACGGGGCCCAGGCAGACGGGAGCCGCGGGCGGGGTCGGCGTCCTCCCCGGCCACACAGCCTGCCTCTGCGTCTGCCAGGAACTTCTTCCAGCTCAGGGTGGCGCGTGAGCTCCCCCATCCCCAGACCAAGGGGGACTGGGAGATGGCCGGGCGCCCGTGGGATTTCAGATGAGGACCAGTGTGCAGGGGTGTCCTCAGAGGCTCTGGGCCCCCTAGGCGGGGAGGGGAGGGGAGAGGAGGGGAGGGGAGGGGAGAGCCCACCCCCCCCCACCCCCGCGGAGGAGCAGAACTGGAGCCCGTGGAATCCTCCAGCAGGTGCTAGAAGATGGCGCTGTCTGCACCTCATTTTCTGTTTCCATTATTCGTGTTTATGCCTTTGTCATTTCACCTCTCAGGCTCCTTTGTGTTTAAACACCGCCGTTTTCCCTGCTCTTCTCGTGAGGCTCTGAGTTTCTGATTTTGACCCTGGGAAGTTCGGAGATGACCAATAAATCTTTTCATCCATGGCATTGAGACCTCACTAAGTTGGAGATACCATCTAATAAGATCCCTATTCCACACGGAGGCGTAGACACGTATGTAGACGACGTAAGGGGGCTTTGGTGACTTCCTCTCTGTCCTGTCCTCCAGCTCCCGGGACCCCCAGCTTTCTGGCATTCTCGGAAGTAACCTCCACCACGCTGAATGTTTCGTGGGGGGAGCCCACGGCAGCCAATGGCGTCCTGCAGGGCTACCGAGTGGTGTACGAGCCCTTAGCACCTGTCCAAGGTAAGCCTCCCGGCTGCGTGACACCTGCCGTCCACATGGCACGGCTCTGGGAGGGGCGGGTGAACCGACTGAGCGCGTCCGGGGCTCCACACGGCCCCTCCGCGGGGGCCCCTGACCCGGCCTCTTTATCACCCAAGACCCGCCTCTCCTGCTGCGCCTGCCATCTCAGCACTCGTCCCACCCTGGGTGCCGCAAGCTGGAGCCACGTGGGCAGCTGGGCCCGGACGCTTCCCTTCGGTGCTCCTCCGGGGCTGCCCTCATTCTTCTGTTTACTCAGCGAGGTTTTTGTTTGTTTTTTGTGTCGGGGGTGGGGGTTTTGGGCCCGCACCTTGCGGGATGTTTCCCCACCGGGGATTGAACCCGGGCCACCGCAGTGAAAGTGCTGCGCACTAACCACTAGACTGCCAGGGAACTCCGCTCAGCAAGTCTTTTTTAAGCGCCTGCTGTGCGCCAGGCGCCGTTCTAGATGCTGGAGTCTGTGGATCCAGGGAAGCTGGGATCTGAGCTGACCTGTTCATCGAGATCCTTGCTTTCCTGAGTGCAGTGAGCTGCGCTCCAAGGAGGAGAGAGCAACACACGAACACACACACACACACACACACACACACACAAGTCTGGTAGTGATCAGCGCCACGAGGAGGAGAGTGGGACCGCGTGAGAGCCTCGGGCGTGGAGCGGGGACAGGCGCTGAGAGACAGGAAGGGCCCAGGCGCCCAGCATCCGAGGCGAGACTGGCCCACAGAGGCTCGGTCACGCGGGGCCTGCAGGGAGGGGGCAATGTCAGTCGTCCGGGCGGCCGCAGGGCCAGTGACATGGGGCCGAGGTGGAGCCAGAGGCACCGGGTCTGAGTTACAGGAGACCGGGATCCCCGGCTGAATCAACCCCCGGCGCCACCAGGGGGGCTGGCAGGGGGCTCCGGGCGGGGATAATGGACGGGAGAGGAGACGACAGGTGCAGGGATGGACAGGGTGGGCGGGAAGGAGCTGGGCCGTGACGGCATGGCTCTGTCCCTGCGCCCCTGCTGTAGTTGGTGCTGCCAGCTCTGTGTTGATTTGATCTCTTATCCACTCATCTCTGCCCGCTGCCCCACTCCCGGAGCGCACACTGAGGGCCAAGCGGGCATTCCTCTCTGTCCCCACTGTGTGCCCGGCACTATGGTGCAGAGAAGGGAGGTGAGGCCCTGGTCATAGACACAGACAGACTGTAGAAATTATGGATTATTTAATGTCTGGGAGGAAAAGGCATCACCAACACATCAAATGATACTGGCTCTCCATTTAAAGCCGTGATAAAAGTTTCCTTTTAAAACAAGCACATTCAAGTAATACAGGGAGTGGATTCGAAGAAGAAAAGTTAAGCCCTAGATTTTATTTCATCGAATCTACACCGCCATGGCCTGGGAGGTTCATTGTTATTTTATGAAGTGCTGAGAAAGAAAAAATGCTTCCACTAAACCACGGCCCAGTCCTCTTGAAGCATCAGTTCCGAGCTGCATCCCAAATCAGAGATGTAAAAATGCGAGGGGGAAAAAGCGCGTCTCAGAAAATCGATGAACTTAGGTAAATAGCAGTAGAGGTGACAGAGGGTCCTTCCTGTCTCTCACGTGAACTTAGGTAAATAACAGTAGAGGCGACGTGTGGAAACGGTTTGTAGAACAGCCAAGAGGCTGGGGACCCGCACTGATTCAGCGCGCTCTGCTGTATCTTTCCAGGACCCAGCGCCTGTCTGGGGACAGGTGGCCTGGGCGTGGCTTGGGTCAAGGTCCGGAAGGAGACGGGCCACGTTCCCGCCTGTTAGGTAGGGAGGGCGGGCCAAGAATTGCTCGAGACTTCCATTTTGCTCACCAGCGTTCCCTGCACATGCACGCACGCGCACAGATTCCACGAGCCCAGGTCCCAAACACCTTTTCAAGGATATTAACCCACTAGCGCCGTTCAGATGAGAAAGGGCTGCCAAGAGCGGTGCCTGACTGGCCTCCGCCTCCGCCCTCACCCCAGACCGTGAGTGAGGTTTCCCACGCTGCCTCCGGCAAGTGACCGACTGCCGAGCAGACCATCTGTGTGGGTGGGTTTGCACAGTCTTTCCAGAAACCCCACGGCCCACAGCTGTCTCCTTGGCCTCCCGGCGAGGCCACCGCCCGGCCGGATTCTGCAGCGGGGCCTGGCTGTGCCCCCCGTTACCCTCCTCTGCACGGTCAGGCGCTAGAATTGCTGCAGAGCTTCCCCACGCCCGCCCCCCGCCCCCGCCTCATCGCCGGGGGCGCAGCAGCAGCTCCGGTTCCCGGTGTCCTCGGGGCTGCTCGTTTGTTTCACGTTGTTTGGACACTCAGGTTCGCCACGAGCAGCTCACAGGGTTCTCCCGGTGCCCCCGTCAACGCGACCCCACCGAGCACGCCGACCGGTAGGCGCTGCCCCTCCGGCACTGGCTACGCAGCAGGCCGCACCCACCGCTCTCGTGCGTTCTCTCCTCCGCATCTGTCCTCACGCCACAGACAAAGCGGGCGGGCTGGGCTCCCCTGGTGGCGCAATGGCTGGGGGTCCGCCTGCCGATGCAGGGGACGCGGGTTCGTGCCCCGGTCCGGGAGGATGCCACATGCCGCGGAGCGGCTGGGCCCGTGAGCCATGGCCGCTGAGCCTGCGCGTCCGGAGCCCGTGCTCCGTAACGGGAGAGGCCACAACAGTGAGAGGCCCGCGTACAGCAAAAAAAAAAAAGGCAGTCGGGCTTCGGGACCTTAAGACGTTGTCCACGGCCTACCATTGGGGAATGGGGGGAGAGGAGGGATTCGAACCCAGACGGGCAGGTTCAAGAGCCGAGGTCTTATCTGTCACGTGATGGGGAACGTCCGGAGCTTGTGTCTCTGAACGTAAACGTGATGCTGAGCAGCAGAGACGGAGTCCGAGGGGCAGTCAGGGAATCATCTTGCTTTCCAGCCGCGGGTGGGGCTTGCCGTTCCCTGGAGTGACAACAGGTGGAGTCACTTCGGTCACAGCCGCCTTCGCCTCGTTTCACAAGTAGCGAGACGCCCGCCGTCCGCAGCAGCGTCCCTTGTCTGTGGGGAGGCCCGCTGCTCTCAGCCTGGGTCTCCGGCCGGTGTGCCAGCCCTGCCATCGGAGCAGGGACGGGGGCTCAGCCCTGCGCTCACTCAGCCGCCGCCCCGGCTCCTGTGCCCTCAGCACCAAACTGTCCAGACGCCAGGCTCTGGCTGTGCATGTCCCAGGCCCACTGACGCCTGCTTGCCTGTCGAGTGGCCGGTCCAGGGCTGGGGCTACCCCACGTGACGGTGACAGTGACAGGAAGCGTCCAGTCCTGCCTGAGGCGTCGCAGGGCTGCCTCTAGCACCAGGCCGGCACTAAGCCGGGCCGCCAACCGCAGGCCACCTTGCCCCCTGACAGCTCAGGCCCTGCTCCCGCTGGGGTGAGGCTGGCCACAGGCCTCGAGCCTCCCCCGGCCTCCGTGGCAACCAGCAAACACCCCTTCCCCAGGAGCAGAGCTCACCGACCCACTGCCCTGGTGCCACCCTGGTGACCCTATGACCTTCCCGAAGTGCCCCACTCACCGCCAACCCGGCATCACGTCCCAGGATCCCACCACGAGCCCGTCTGGACCACGGCCTCTGCCAGAACCCCTGACTTAGCCAGATGTACACTAGTCCTGGGCCCTTCCAGCAGCCACGGCTGGCAGCCAGAGAGGAGCACGGCCCGGCCAAAGTGGGGCCGTAAGGAGGCTGTCACGTGGGGCGTGGGCAGTGGCTGCCGGTGGCGGTCCTCCTGCTGGTGGGTGTCATGGGTCGAGCACAGGAAGGCCCCAGATCAAGCCCCATTGCGTTCCTCCAGACTCGGCCGCGTGACTCGCAGTGGCCACTGGAGCAGTAACCGTCGTGGGGCGGGCGGAGGTGTGGAGAGCGTTTGCACGCGGGAGGCACCCTGTCCTCTCGTGGACACGCCTGAGCCGGCCCTCGGGGAGATGCCAGGGACGTGACCTCTCCGTCCTCTTGCCTTGGCGGACAGCCGGCCACCTGCCGGGCACGTGAGGACCAGCCACAGCTGCACGCAGGAGCCCAGCCGCGATCGGCCACGCCAGCCGCCTCCCAAGGCCTGACCAGCAGGATGGCGAGCTGAGCTCCACGGTGGCCGCCATAAGCCCTGGGTGCTGGGGCAGCGTGGCCACCACGGAGTGGGAGAGCTGCAGCCGGGGACCCAGGTGGATCGCAGCGCCCGGAGTTAGACGTGCTTTTGAACAGTCACTGCAGGGTCTGGGATCCGGCCCTCCTGACACTGCTGTGAGGTGGGCACTGCCCGCTCAGGACCGACGGGAAACGGAGGCCTGCAGAGGTCCAGTGCATCGTCCGGCGTCACACGGGGAAGAAGTAACAGGCCTGGGACAGGCTCCAGATCCCGGGGCGTCCGCACTCCCCGTCCCGCGGGCCGACCCTGCGAGTTTCAGAGGGAACCCGCCCTCGGCCGATCATGGAGCAGCGGCGCTCGCCCTGGGCGCCTCTCTGCCAGGGCTCTTTGGGGCGTTCTGACCTAAGACCACGCCGTTGCCTAGCTGAGCAGGCCCGACACCGTGGACAGAGTCGTGGGTGAGAACAGAGAGCCTGAACGCCAGGCCGTGGCTGTGAAAGCACCACACAGCTTCCCGGACCCGCTGAGGGCAGGCTGCCCGGCACCTCGGGCCCTGGTCCGGCCCTGGCTGCCCTGCGTCCCCACACCTGGGCCCATCCCTCCCCAGCGGCCCCCAGTGCCCCGATTCTATGTCTCCTCCCCTCAGGGCGGCTGGCTGATCTGATGGGTGCGCAGGCCTCTTGGAGGGCGTCTCCTGGAGAAGCCTGGCCCTCACCCCCTTCGCGGTTGGATCTGGGATTTAGGCAGGGAACCATGAAAGTGGGAAGCGGGACTCCGGACCATTTCAGTACTCTCATATGCCTCAGAGGACCCGAGCAGCTCCCAGAGATATGGCTGCAAACGTAGGGAGAAGCTCGAGCATCTTTATATTAACTCTCTGTGGTAACGCCGCTTCCCTTGTGAAGATCACCGAGGATATGATATTTACGTTGATATACACATGCACAAGTCTGTGGTAAAGACAGTAAAAAAGCAGTTGTAAAGCAGTGACCTCACCCTGGGGTGACCCTTCTTCATGCCCCCTCCCCCAGGCCCGGGCAGCGTCTGGAGGGACACCTGCAGACCCTTGTTGGGCAGCCTGCAGCCCAGGCCCCGGTAACAGGGGCGTCGATGTGGTACTGCAGTGCTGTGGACCCCGGGTCCCTCCACCAGGAAAGTAGGCCTGGCTGCGTGGGGAGCCCCCAGGCCCTCGGAACACTGAGCCGTGTTCTTGGGACTCTGATTCCATAGAAGAGCTATTTTTATGTTTTCTTACGTGTTTGAAATGGAAGTATTTCAGGCGACTGCACCCTGAGGTTTGGAGTGCAAGGTGGTTTTAAAGTTGACTGAATAAATAAGACGCTGATGTGGTTGGGATGGGGGAGGGGGAGGGAAGCGGACTAGCTCCACCTCTTGGCGGGACAGAGTTCACAAGATCTGTGCACGGAGTTGGTTTTGCTCTGAGGAGAAGGAGGGCATTTTTTAACAAAAGAAGGGGCTGCTCTCCAGGAAAACTTTATATCTGGCAGGATCCCACGTGTGTTCACTGGGGACGGTCAACCATGGGTGTGGACTCATCCCTGAAACCCCGTTCTGGAGCAATGCAGCTGAGGGGCGGCCTCTCTGTGCAGAAGTGGCCCTGCTTCTCTACCAAAAAGCTCCAGTCACGCAAGAGCAGCCCAAATTGCTCCGAAACAACTTGAAAGAGAATCAGGTCTCTGAACAAATGTTGCATAAAAGGCGCAATATGAAGGCAGTAAGCCAACTAGAAGGGCTTCTGGAGGCCTGTAGGATCAGAGGAATTTGCTTTGATGACTTTGAAAGCTGGACCCACTTTGTAGCGAGGACGCACGTTGTTGGGCTCTTCTGAGGGCAAGGCCACCCTAGGATTCAAGGTGCAGATAACACCGGCAGGTCGCAGCGAGGGCAGGTGGCCCCTTGGTCTTGGGAAGCACGGCCGTTCTCTGTGTACGGGACACAGTGGCACCCGGCGCGGCTCCTCCGCACGACCTCTGCTGACTCACAAGTCCTGGAATTGCCCCAGCCTGACACCCTCCTCCAAGAGGTGCCCGACAGACATCAGTGTGTTGAAGGCTCTGAGAAGTCCCGCAGTCTAGAGCTTATGTAGCTTTTTTGTTTGAATGCTTCGTTTGCAGACTTGTTTTACCAAAGAACCCTATTTTCCCTTCTGGAAAATGCTGCGTTTGTGTACTTGTCAGTTTGTATCCCCTGCCAAAGTGTCCCACCTCTATTTTCTAATTAAACCCAGTACACCCAGCATCACACCTGCTCGGTGTGAGGGAAGCGTCTCTGTGCTGGCACAGGTCTGTGGAGCTGCGTCACCACCACTCTCTGTGGTGACAGGTTCGTCATGTTTCAGGGTCTGTGGATGAAGTTGTCATGCGTTGCCAAAGCCTTTAGGCGGCAGAGTGGGCCCCGTGGGGGGGCCGCCTGCAGCCCATGCAGAGCCTTCCTCCATCTTCCTCCTCCACGTTCTGTCCCCCGACTAAGTTGGGAAGCCCGAGGTCGCCTCCGACGTGACACAGGGCTTTGTGCGGCTCCGAACCAAGTGGGGAGGGACCCTCCAGACGTCGGGGGCCTGCCCCCACCTTGGTGCCTGTCGCCGGGGTTCTCTCCCCCACCCCAACGTGGCCAGTGAGCTGGGGCCTCCTCCCGCGTGCTGTGAGGGTGGTTCTTCCCCGTGTCAGCACCCACTTACCAAGCTTAGACTCTAATGGCACTTATGTGTGCTGAAAATTGGCCATTACCACCATTTACAGTCCCAGTGGTAAGAAACGCTTCCTCAGCAAACCTCGCGGCCTCCTGGTTAATAGAGCTGAAGAGGCGGTGCTCAGGGCCCCTCTCGCCCTTCCCTGCGGCTCTAGGGGTGAGCAAGGTGGTGACGGTGGACGTGAAGGGGAACTGGCAGCGCTGGCTGAAGGTGCGCGACCTCACCAAGGGGGTGACCTACTTCTTCCGAGTGCAAGCACGGACCATCGCCTACGGGCCCGAGCTGCGGGCCAGCGTCACGGCCGGGCCGGCCGAGGGTGAGTATCGGGTCTCCTTCGTCCGGTCAGGGCTTGGTCTGCACTCCCGACGAGCCGTGCTGGACGCTCAGAGCTGGCATCAGCTCAGGGCTCTTTTGGCCCCGCCTTCCAAGGCGTGTGTTAACTGAACGTCCGCACGCGGACTCATTCAGTGTGGGCGAGCAAGTTCTTAGGTGTTGAGGGTGTCCAGTTTGTATTTGTTTTCTGGAAAAAAAGCGAAAAGAAGTGCATTCAATTTTTGAAATAAGATACGTAAGAAAAATTTGAAGTTTTCCTGGCATGAAGAGGAGCCTCATGGTTCCCGCTGCACAAATGCCCTTGGCCTCTGTTTAAGTGCTTTTGGAGGAGAGGGCAGTGGATCGAGAGGGCACCTCCACGCCTCAGCTCTCTTGATGCTCTGATGGACCTGTGAGGCCAGTGTCAGCCCCACCCTGACTTTCAAGATGAGGGACCGGGACTGACCCAGGGTGAGCCCTGCCTGAAGACCTAGCAGCAGAGCTGGCCCCTCTGCAGGCCCAGGAGTCCCGGGCCAAAGCCCACCCGCTCTTTTCTCCTCTGTCCACAGGTTCCCCGGGCTCCCCTCGAGACGTCTCGGTCACCAGATCCGCCTCTGAGCTCACCCTGCAGTGGACGGAGGGCCGCGCGGGCAGGACGCCCACCACGGGCTACGTCATCGAGGCCAGGCCCTCAGGTAGGGCGGGCGAAACCCCGAAACGGTGCCTCTGCATCTGTAAAAGAGGGGATGTGTCAGAGCTTGGGGCCTCCCCGGCCCAGCATCTCCTTGATGACGTGGAGACAGAGGGCATTGACTTGAAATGAGAGGTGCCCTCTCACTCCCCCACCCCCCGTTGTTGTTTTTAAATATTTATTATTTATTTATTTATTTTGGCTGCGCCGGGTCTCCGATGCGGCACACGGGATCTTCGTTGTGGCCTGCGGACTCTTCGTTGCGGCCTGCGGGATCTAGTTCCCTGACCAGGGATGGAACCCCATTGGGAGCGTGGAGCCCTACCCACTGGACCACTGGGGAAGCCCCCACCCCCCCGTTCTCATAACCACAGCTGCGCTAGCAACCTCACAGGCATCAGACCCATGGTGTCCTGGCCACGTTACCCAGGCTTGGGGGAGGATGATTGTCACTCAGATACACGTGCGTGAGAACTTAGGGTCACTTAAGGACGTTCTCAGCTTAGCGGTGAGACCCGCGAGTGTTTTCAGAGGCTCCGCTCGAGATCTCAGTGGAGAGTGTCCCGCTCATTTCGGATTGTCATGAACCTTCCTGTTAGTAGTGAAACCCAGACGTCATCCGCTGGGAGCGAGGTTGAGATCCGCCCCGACCCCATCCACCCTAAGAGGGATTCCGCCTTCTCTCTGTTCAAGTAATACCTAAGGGCGGACATCACTGGAAAGTGAAGGATGGTTTGAGTCGGATGTTACAGCTGGAGCTGGGGGGGTATCACCCTCGCAGGAGCCCCGGGCACGTTCACCGCGACCTTCAGACGGCCGTACGGCTCAGCATGAACATCCAAGTGTGAAAATACACGGCGTGCCAGGGACGCACTTGGAAAGCGAATCTCCAGGCCCCGCCTCCAGATGGACTACAGCACTGCGAGCACTTCAGTGTGATGTTTAAAGAAGCTATTAGACCAAGAGGGAAGATCCCCAAAGTTGCAGACGTCACAGGTGTCCCTCCTCCCCACCAAATGGCTTTTGAAAGATTACTGGTTAGAAGTGCCTTCTAGAAACTTCTAAGGAGAAACCTAGTACATAAAACCAAAACAGTTTCTACGTAAAGGCGATGTGAATACTTCTTTGGCTCAAGAATGCCCATGTTCAGCCCCCGGGCCTGGGGGATCCCGACAGTTTCTGATAAGCAGGGCATCTGGCCTTTTCTGGAAATGGAGGGTCCCAAATCCGTGACGGGGCTGGACTCGCCAGAGGCCTCTGTGGTCACTTGTTCCCCCCGTACCTCTGAAAGCAGTGGACCCAGAAGAGCCAGCCAGCTCCCTGCTGGCGACATCTGACCCGGGGCACTTGCGGAGATCAACAAGTGCCGCGGGCTTCCCTGGTGGCGCAGTGGTTGAGAGTCCGCCTGCCAATGCAGGGGACACGGG